AATATTTAAATAAAATTTTGTTTGGCAAAAATTAAGGTATTTTTTAAGTCACAGTAGTTAAATCTGTATCTGTATTGCATGTTCAAACTTAAAATCATTCATTTTAACTGCTTAATAGATTTTTCCTCTGGAAGTATGTAGGTTTGAAAATTTTAGAGAAATTATAAATTAATGCATTACAGTTCAACTAAACCATTATATTTTAGTAATCTGAATTGTTTTAGTTAACTAACTATGGATGATAATAACAAATTACAGAAACAACATTTTTATTTTAGGACGGTCGACATTCACTTTAGGACGGTTCAAACTGTTTTTCAGGACGGTTCTAAGACGGAGGTGAAAAAGTTAGTCTGGAGCCGTGTTAAGTCTCTTTTGATCCTGTGAGGTAAATTCAGTCTCTGCATTCCCATCAATGTATTAGTGAGACACACTGTTGAAAACATCACGCTTCTTAGTCATTTTAAAATATTAATGTGATGATGTAAGTCCCCAAATACAATTTACACCGGTCAATTTTTCTGTGTGGGATGGCAGGCCACCACAGTCTGGTCAATGAATAGGAAATATTGGCAGATCGAGTTTTATGATCTGGCAAAACAAAAGCCCTGACTATTTAAGTTCAACTGTGTGTGTGTGTGTGTGTGTGTGTAGAATGGAAATATAATACGTTTACCTGTGAAGATGAATTTTTTTATTTCTAGCAATTCTTGACGCACAAGTGAGAGCTCGTTGTCACTATTTTCTTCTTGTTCTTTCAAGGAAATGGAAGCTAGGATTTCCGACCCTTGATTGTGAATGGCACTGGCAGCCTGTGGCAACATACACATGTTTTTAATTAAAATAATTATATATATATATATATATATATATATATATACACACACACACACACACACACTACCGGTCAATAGCTTAAGATCGGTAAGATTTTTTATGTTTTTAAAAGAAGTCTCTTCTGCTCACCAAGGCTGAAATTTTTTGATAAAAAATACAAAAAACAACAACAGTAATATTGTGAAATATTATGACAATTTAAAATGACTTTTTTATGTTAATATATATTAAAATTCCTCTGAAAAAAAAAGCTGAATTTTCAGCATCATTGCTCCAGTCTTCAGTGTCACATGATCCTTCACAAATCACTCTAATATGATGATTGTCACGAACGCCGGTGAAGATTCCCCTGTCGGCCACCGGAGGTCTCACTCTCCTGAATACTAAACATTAACCCTGAACTACACTTCCCAAGAACCCACATACAGGGACTGATTACAGCACACCTGATCCTCATCACCAGACTATTTAAACCCTGCTTCTCACACACATTGCGAAGTCTTGTTTGCCCCGGTTACATTTCTGAGCGTTATTCTCATCGTATTTTCTGCCTGTGTTTTGACCCTGCCTTGGATTAACGACTACGACTCTTCTCAGCCTGCCTTTTGATCTCTGTTTCATCCGGACTTTCTCTCCTGTTGTCAGCTGCCTGTCCTGAATCTCTGCCTGTTTTGACTACGATTTCTGCCCTGTCTCTGATACTGTTGTCTGCCCTGGTATTCCGACCCATGACTGTTTTGTACACTGAGCTTGCTATATTTGAATAAACTGCACATGGATTCTACTCAGCCTGCGTCTTCGTTACAATGATTTGCTGCACAAGAAATATGTATGATTATTATCCATGTTGAAAACAGTTTTTTACATTTTTATTTCAGGATTCTTTGATGAATAGAAAGTTCAAAAGAACAGCTTTTATCTGAAATGGAAAGCTTTTGTTACATTAAACACTACCCTTTAAAAAGTTTGGGGTCAGTAAGAATTTGTATTTCATTTTTGGGGGAAATAAATACGAAATCAATACCATTCATCAAGGATGAGTTACATTGATCAAAAGTTACAGTAAAGACATTTATAATGTTAGAAAAGATTCTAATTAAATAAATGCTGTTTTTGAACTTTCTATTCATCAAAGAATCCTGAAATAAAAATGTAAAAAACTGTTTTCAACATGTATAATAATCATACATGTTTCTTGAGCAGAAAATCATTATATTAGAGTGATTTGTGAAGGATCATGTGACACTGAAGACTGGAGTAATGATGCTGAAAATTCTGCTTTTTTTCAGAGGAATAAATTACATTTTGATACATATTAACATAAAAAAAGTCATTTTAAATTGTCATAATATTTCACAGTATTACTGTTTTCAGATGCAAAAGCCTCTATGTACCATTTGAAATTTTGTTCTAGAATGACCATTTTTATCAAGCTTGTGTATTTAAGTTCAGTAATTTCACTTAAATGACAATTAATAGGTAATCTTCATTGCCATTTAAGTGAAATTACTGAACTTAAATATACAAGCTTGATAAAAATGATAATTTTAGAAGAAAATTTCAAATGGCACTTAGAGGCTTTTGCATCTGAACTCTTCATATATATACAGTATATATATATATATATATATATATATATATATATATATATATATACACACACATTAAACAATAACTCACTTTGGTTCCACTGACTGTGGCCACGGCAGTAGGGGGGTCATCCTCATCCTCATCCTCGTCCTCCCACAGACGTTTGGCAACACGTTTTCTCTTCCCTACAATGGCGTCGTCTTCGGAATCTTTCTTCGTCCGTTTGTCCAACTTTCGCTCCAATGTATTAATGTCTATTGCAAAGAAATACCTGTCACCATTGCCACTAACACACTAGTTACCAACAATGGTCTGAGTTAAAGAATAATATAATGCCCACTCAATTTGATATCACATTATTATCAATATATCACATATAGATCACTCATATCGGAAGAAAGCCGTTCATTAACGTTATCCTGCATAACCTCAAGGTAGCATTAGCTATAGAAAGTCAAAGGAAGCTTTGCCTCAGCAAAACGTATAAGTTGACTTTAACTAAACATTCCGTAGTTTGGTTATTAATTATCTGTTAAACATCATAATGTCCCTGTTTAACTAATAAAGCAGTAAAAAAAAAAAAAAATAACGAGGGTTTAACTTACCTCCAACTGATTGAACGGTAGCCATATAAATGGGGAATCCTCCTTTTGGTCGTTTTCCCACACCCCACTCGACGGCAAATTCATCTTCGTAGGTAATCACGCCGTTTAAAAAACTTTCCAGATCAAAATTTCGTATGTATTTAATGTGAACAATACTAAATTTCCCCTTATCATCCCCGGCACACCATTTCACAAGCGCATACATGTCCACTTCTCCTTGCCCGGTCGTCGTCGTTTAACGTTTCTCAGGTTTACGCGGGTAAGTTACTAGGGTGGGGGGAAGGGAGGGGGGGGAAGAAAAATGTTAGTGTTTTAAAAATCAAAACCAATATGTTATTGTTATTACTATTATTATTATTATTATTATTATTATTATTATTATTATTATCTTACATTCATTTTTATATTTTAGCTTTAAAGATCAGATGGCCGTTACCGGAAGTTACGTAATTCACCACTTAAATGTGCTCCAAGACATACATTTGATAGTAGATGATATTTTGCAAGAATGCTGGAGATTTATGTTAACGTGTTATGTTAGATGATTTCTTTTCTTTCTTTTAAATTACTGGTTTAATAAAGATAAGTGTAGATATATATTATTCTGACACACACTCCGTTTCAGAAGGTGGCGGTATTGCAACCAGACGCTATTTGCCAACTGCCATAAAAACAAGAAGAAAACTGTGTCACTTCAGACGGTTCAGACAGACAAAATTTTAGCGGGCTTTGATATTAGTTTGGGTGATTTCAGTCAACTATGGAATACGGTATTTTGATTTTAAGGTCATAATGGAGTATCGAAAATACCTAACCACGGGTGCAGCAGTTCCTGCGCGAACAGCACGTCGATGGAAAAGGTAAGTGCACTATATATATATGAATAGATAACTAGTGCTGCACGATTAATCATATCGCAATCGTAATCGCGATGTACACAAAATGCCTCGATTTCATATGAATAAACAAATTAGGGCATTTCTCTTCTTTTTTTTGTCATCCTTTGACTAGTGTTACATGATCCCGCTTTTATTAGTGCAAATTCCTTTTTGCATTTTGCATGACACGAAGTCAAAAAAGAGCGCCCTGCCTGTGAATGTCCTGAATGTGACTCGTAGAAAGACAAGCGCTATGCGTTTAAACAGAGAGTGTGCTAGAATGCTGTTCTCTTTCGAGCTTGAAAAAAACAATAACACACACAATTATGCCAAAATGTCGTTTTATCTTCATTACATAAGAAAAGTATTTTGGACGAAAAGAGTTGTGTTTGTGGGAGAATGAGGTGTGTGGAGATCCGCGGCTCTGCTCTTAAAAGGCCATGAGCGAATATTGTCAATAAACTTAATCAAAGAACAAAGTGAACAGAAAATTACTCACTGCTCTTGACTAAATAACTTTTGTAGCTTTAATAAGGATTAGTCTATATATAATTTATAATTCATGCAGCGCAGACTGTTTGATAATTTAACTTATTCAATTTCTGTAGCTACCTGTTAAGACAGGAAGGGCACAGGTGATATGGCATTTATTATGGGTTTATGTGAGGATTGTTCGAAATTCACTTAATTTAAAAGCTGTTATATTTTTTTAAACCTATTTTTTTGTAATTAGTTGATAGCTTTCAATTGTAATGATGGAATCACTGTAATGTTGGTGTTATTAATAGGTGTTATCAATCATTTAGTTTTTGTTGCTAGTTTGAGTTGAGAAATACACACAATGACTACTAATCTGTACATGCATTTTACTTTAGAACCAAGCAAGTTGACTCATGAAACCATTTGTTTATTATATTGGAATCGCATATTGCAATTGCAATATTGACCTCAATAATCGCAATGTGACATTTTCTCCAAATCGTGCAGCCCTAATAGCTAACTTTAAGATTTCCCTGAAATCTACATAAATTGCCAAATCCTGAAGAGTCAAGCTTAGTGTTAAAATACAATGTTATTTTTTTATCCTTCAGGTCAGTGGCATGTCCAGGTTCCCCAAGGAGAAAAAAAGTAAGTAATTTTACATGTGAATACAATGAAATTCTACACTGATTTGTGTCAGGATTGCAGGCTATCTGCTATTATTTTTACTATTTTACCTGCACCAAGTTTATAAAGTATAACTTAGTTAGAAAGTTATCTTTCCAGTGTTTTAGCTTTAGCACATGTTTAGTCATTTTAAGTTGCTACGTTATTATACAAAATCATGTGTTAAAGGGTTAGTTCACCCAAAAATGTAAATTAAGTCATTAATTACTCACCTCCATGCTGTACCAACCCTGTAATGTTACGTTCACATCGGACGCGAATGAAATTCGTGCCTGATGCGTCTAGTTTGACGCTCACTTTGTGTTATTTCGCGTGTCAAGAGCGAAACTGGCGCGCGTAAAAACAAAAGATTGAAGCGAAATTTACGCGCGTCAGAATCGAAATCAGTTGGCGGCCATTGTTTTTATGTCGACCGAGCATTCATCAAGAGAGTTAACGCTCTGTATTTACTCTGGAGAGCAGAACAGCGGCGTGGGGATCATTGTCGCCGTATATTCGGAGGCGAACCGTTTGGCGAGTTTCACCATTTGCTCGCTCCAGGAGCTGCGCTGGATGACGGCCGCTATCAGCGGTACTTCCGCCTGTCCCGCGGCCAGTTTGATGACATGTTGTCCCGCATCGGAGCGAGGATCACCCTCGCCCTCATCCATCTAATCTAGCTGTCATTTATTTTTGTTTTGATGATAAATACCCAGATAGCAAACTGACATTGAATCAACGTGGAAACATGACATCGAAACAATGTTGATCTGACATTGTTTTGCTCATCGAATTAACGTTGAACCAACGTCAGACGCGTCATTCTTTTAAAACTACCGGAAAATGCATGCGCGAGAACTGAACTGAAGTAGTTGAAGGAGATCGCAATTCTCGCGCATGCATTGTGGAAATCTCTTGAACTCTCGTCTCAGGCCAACAAGGAAGAAAAGGAATAGTCGAATAAAGTCGTTATTTTTGTTTGTTTTTTCACACAAAAAGTATTCTCGTCGCTTGATAAACTTATAATTGAGCCGCTGTAGGCACATGAAATATTTAAACATATTCTTCATTGACTTTCTGGGCCGTCAAGAGGCAGTCCCTTAGGCAGCCAATGTGGTAGTGATCCAGCTCTCAAATTTAATCAAAAATATCTTCATTTGTGTTGCGAAGACGAACGAAGGTCTTACAGGGTTGGTACAGCATGGGGGTGAGTAATTTATGACTTAATTTTCATTTTTGGGTGAACTAACCCTTTAACAGAGATTAAAGTAAACATGTTGAATTGAAATACTGCCTTGAAGTGATATTTATTATTTTCATGAATATTGGTTTCCTATTTCAGATATGTGATTCTGCTGTTACCCTAATTGATCCTGCACGCATCTCCTGTAGTCCTGCATTTGACTCCCATCATCCAGGACCTGCACTCGACTCACTTAATCCTGATCCTGCTCTCGTCTCTTTTGATCCTGCACTCGATTCAGATGGTCCTGCAATCGTCTCGGATGGTCCTGCACTCGACTCAGATGGTCCTGCAATCGTCTCGGATGGTCCTGCACTCGACTCACATGGTCCTGCAATCAACTCGGATGATCCTGCACTTGACTCAGATGGTCCTGACTCAGATGGTCCTGCACTCGACTCAGATGATCCTGCACTCGACTCAGATGATCCTGCACTCGACTCAGATGATCCTGCACTCGACTCAGATGATCCTGCACTCGACTCAGATGATCCTGCACTCGACTCAGATGATCCTGCCTCAGATGGTCCTGACTCAGATGGTCCTGCACTCGACTCAGATGGTCCTGACTCAGATGGTCCTGACTCAGATGGTCCTGCACTCGACTCAGATGATCCTGACTCAGATGGTCCTGCACTCGATCGTCCTGCACTCGATCGTCCTGCACTCGACTCAGATGGTCCTGACTCAGATGGTCCTGCACTCGATGGTCCTGCACTCGACTCACATGGTCCTGCACTCAACTCACATGACCCTGCACTTATCTCCTGTGATCCTGGTCCTGCAATTGACTCACATGATCCTGATCCTGCACTTGTGTCGCCTGATCCTGATTCTGCACGCATTAGTACAATATCGGTAAATGTTAATCGCCGTCTCTATACCTAGAAATATTATATAAAATAATATTATATTAAATTCTATAAACTACTCCCGGTCACACATTAAGGCTCATTTTTGTTTATTTGTGAAATCTCAACAAACCTATTTGTAAATTTTGCTAGTTTTACTTTACAATAATAAGATAAATACACATACTGTATCATTGCTATTTGGGATTGTTGGCTGAAATAATTTTTTTTTTTTTTCTTTTTTTAAATGTCTTTGTGTGTTGCAGGTCTGTGAAGAAAGTCCCCTCTCATTCATACCACCAGTCCACCAAACCTCTACAAACACTTCTTGTGCAAATGGGCAGGAAAGACAAACTGCTACTGTTGAGGATACAAGAAAACAACATGAGTTGCTACTTCTTGCTTTAAAACTCAAGCATGGACTGACTGATGAAGCTTTAGAAGACACACTTAAAGTGGTCAATGTTATAAGTCAGAGGCATGCTGTGTCATCTACCAAACATCACTTTAACAAAACTTTTGATGACTTGAAAAGAAATATTCAGTTTCACTACATTTGTGAGGGATGCACCATTTCTGTAAACATTGAGGGAGAAAAAGTGGTTTGTCCTAACTGTCAATATTCTTGTAGTGTAGCAGATCACATGAAAAAGGGGCACTTCTTTATTGTTTTTCCACTAGAATCACAATTAAGGAATATTATGGAACAAGAGGAACTCTTCAGCCAGTTGACTAGGCATAACAGTGGTGCTCACTCTAGCCCACTGACAGATATCACTGATGGTGAGCTTTACAAGAGGGTTAACAGAAATGTTGAAGGCCAATCTGAGCATCACATCAATCTCACACTAACCTTTAGCTGTGATGGTGTACCTGTATTTAAGAAATCTTCTTACAGTATTTGGCCACTGCTCTATACAGTCAATGAATTGCCACCTGATTTGAGAGCAAAACAAGTCATGTTGTCAGCCTTATGGTTTGGTTCATCAAAGCCAAACTGTAATACATACTTATCACCATTTGTGAAAGAATGCAATCAATTGCTTACTCATGGGTTTGAGTGGATCAGTGGAAATGGTATTCATGGCCGGTCCAAAGTATTTCCCTTGGTTGCAGTATGTGATTCTGTTGCAAGACCGATGATTCAAAATTTTAAGCAATTCAACGGAGAATTTGGATGTTCATACTGTTTACAGAAAGGTACAGTGGTTGAGAAGGGGCGAGGTCATGTACGGGTCTATCCTTTTGAGTCTGATGCTGAAATCAGAAATCATAGTAGCACCCTAGATTTTGCTCGAGAGGCTATAGAAAAGCGCACTACTGTGAAAGGAGTGAAAGGACCGTCTATTTTGTCATTGATCCCATCAGTTGACCTAATACAAGGTTGCGTACCTGACTATATGCATGCCTGTCTTCTTGGTGTTGCAAGAGCTATGACTTGTATGTGGGTTGGTAGTGACAGTCATGAAAACCCATGGTATGTAGGAAGGAGCATCCAAGTGATCGATCAAAAACTTCACCTTATCGAACCACCCTCCTGTGTTTCCAGAGTGCCTAGATCACTGCAAGAGAGAAAGTATTGGAAGGCACATGAGTGGTATATGTGGCTTTTCTACTATAGTATCCCAGTTCTTAAAGGGATCTTACCAGAGCGCTATCTAATACACTGGACTCGGTATGTGAAGGCTTTGGCTTTGCTTTTAACTGAAAGCGTCACCTTGCAACAAATTCAGGAAGCAGATATCATGCTTAAGAGATTTGTGATGGAAATGGGGGATCTCTATGGTATACAAAACATGTCCTATAATGTCCATCTATCTCTTCACCTTGCACAAAGTGTGCGAAATTGGGGTCCTTTATGGGCTCATTCAGCTTTCACATTTGAGTCATATAATCACAGCCTGCTCAAAATGATCAAGAGTACACAAGGGGTCCCTTTGCAGATTGCCAAAACATTTCAGTTACAGAAGGGTCTGCCCTCATATGCCAAGAAAACACTGTCAAATGCATCCTCTGAATGCATTTCGGCCTTCGAAGACTTAGTCGGTCCTACGCACACCCAGAGTGCAATAAGGTGTAAAGAGGTCATTGCACTTGGAGGCAGACATGAGAAAGTTGGTCTTGAGCAAGATGACTACCTTGCCCTCCACAATGTAGCCTATCACATAGAGAGAGAACTTCTTGTCAGTTACCGTGACCGGGCAGTAATTAATGGTGAAGTTGTGCATTCAAAAAGGCATTCGAGAGAGAGAAAGAGGAACTCGCATGTTGTAGTCCTCACAGATAACAGCATTTTAAGTGTTGATACATTTGTTGTTGCAGACTTAGGAAGTGAGGAATGCTGCTATGCCATAGGACATTATTTTGAAACAAAGCGACACAGTTTCTTTGCTTCATTGTCAAACCCACACCACTTTGTCGCTGTTGGCAAAAAGTTGGGGCATCTGACAGCTGTTCCAGCTGCAGTTATAAAGAGAAAGTGTCTCTTTATGAATCTTCCAAACCTGAAAGTTAATTATGTTTTTATGTTTTTGAATCGTAATGAATTGACGAATTGATTAAGAAAAATGAAAGGGGTCATAGAATGGAAAACATTTTTACCCATGCAGACCAAATAGTGAAAATACATGAATCTTTTAGAGTTTTTGCTTGGCAGTGATATGCCTATTGATAGTTAAAAAGTATACTATCTAACTCTGAATACTTTCACAGGAAATGTCAATAGGTTAAAAAAGAATGAACTTATGTCTGATATCTATAGTGAAGTCCTAAATGGTAAGAAGAATACTGCCTGCACATGTCTGAATGTGGAATGTCACTCAATAGTTAGAGGAGTTCACATTTGAAAAAAACTTTTGCTGATAATTTACTCACCCCCATGTCATCCAAGATGTCCATGTCTTTCTTTCTTCAGTCGAAAATAAATTAAGATTTTTGATGAAAACATTCCAGGATTTTCTCCATATAATGGACTTCAATGGGATCCAAACGGTTCAAAGTCCAAATGAGAGTTTCAGTGCTGCTTCAAAGGGCTTTAAACGACACCAGACGATGAATAAGGGTCTTATCAAGCGAAACCATCAGTCATTTAATAAATAAATAAAAAAGGTTAAATTTTATAAGCACAAATTCTAATATGTTTTCATCAAAAACCTTAATTTCTTTTCGACAGAAGACATGTTGATATGGACATCTTAGATATGGACATCTTAGATTACATGGAGGTGAGTAAATTATCAGCAAAAGTTTTTTTTAAAAGTGAACTACTCCTTTAATAGGAATATTTTATGTACTTGTCAAAATGTCATGTAATCACATGTTAAAAATAGAAATGTTGTATGTACTTGTCTGAATAGTTTAAAAAGATGATACTTAGAATGTCTGAAATTAAAACCTCTAACACCAATATTTTCATGTCATATATCTGAATACCTTGTAATTAAATGCCTATAGTTGGAGATTTTGTACTGTGTGAATACCAAATATAGTATGTTTAATACAATAATGCAGTGTTTTCTTTGTCATTTTTGACAAATAAATCCAAAATAACCATATGCCACAGCTTTAAAATGCATCAGTATCACAGGCATGTATGTTTACATACATTTATTAAATATGTGGGAAACAAATATATATGTCACATATTTATAATTAATGTTGTCCATATATGCGAGAAACCAATACTATACTGTAATATATGCAGATATATGGTATCATATATGGATGAACTCAAATATTTTCTTCACATGTTTGAACACATAAATGTTCATATATGTTGCAGGCATATATTGTGTTCTCAGATAAGTCAAATATATTTATAGATATATGTCATAACATTTAAAATATAAGTACATATATGGACATATATTACATTTTTGTATGGGATACACCTTATAAGTTATTATATACATTTCCAGACGTCTTTTAGGAAGAGGAGCACAATTTGAGACAGAGACTAAATACTGATAAAAATGCATTTACAAACATTGACCTAACAGTGGGGGATCTTGTCACAATATTGAATAAGTTGTTTCAACGAAATCAGCTATTAAGCATCCTAACGTATACGGAAATATTAAACCATTGTTTTGAGTAACACATAGGCCTACTGTAAATAATAAATTGCATAACATTGTAACATTTTTTAAAAAATGTTTTAAATGTTCTATTGGTATAATATACTCTTGTCCTATCTGTCAGGGTATTGTGAATTACCTATCTGTGTTATGGTGTTATATAACCAGTCCACTAGGGGGATTACGAGAGTTCTAGAGGTCAGCGTAATACAGCGAAGAGTAAGGGAGTTGATTCTGATGTAAACAAGCTGAACGCAGTTGTTCCATGTGGCTCTTCAATAAATCGACAGAACACAAGTAATGCCTCCTTGCAAATGCTTATAAGACATGGTGTCAGAAGTATAAAGACTTATAAAGACAAGAGAAGAGCATTATGTCGAAATTTCACCCGCCAGAGAGTTTCAACTTCGATCGTCCAACAGAATGGCCAACGTGGCGGCAGAGGTTCGCGCGCTACAGGACCGCGACAAAACTAAGCAAAGAGGACAAAGAGGTACAGATAAGCACTTTAATATATGCAATGGGCATTGAAGCGGAGAACATTTTCAAATCGTTCACATTCGGAGAAGGGGAAAGTGCCGAGGAGTACGAAACGGTGCTGGGAAAATTCGATGAGTATTTCCTACCAAAAAAGAATGTGATACACGAGCGGGCGTGTTTTCATCAGAGAGTGCAGAGGCCCGGGGAAAATGCAGAGTGCTATATCAGAGCCCTTTACGAACTCAGTGAGAATTGTGAATTCGGTGCAAGTCGAAATGAACATATAAGAGACAGACTGGTAGTTGGAATTCATGATAAAGAGCTGTCTAGGAGGATGCAGCTATTGACAGCACTTACACTGGAAACTGCGGTACAGATGACGCGGCAAGCCGAGGATGTCGCGCAGCAGATCAGTCAGCAGGAGGGTCAGTCGACAAACAGCGTGCACGAGGTAGCCTCCAGTCCAGACGTTCATCAAAGGCGGCAAATCGGCCCTGGACGAGAGAGAAATATAAAAGAGCTGGTGAGAAAACAGAAAACGAGTGTAGCAGGTGTGGTAAAACAGGACACAAAGACATCAGAAAATGCCCAGCAGCAGATACCGAATGCAGAAAGTGCAAAAGAAAAGGACACTGGGCGAGAATGTGCAAGTCAAAAACGGTGAGACAAGTGACGGCGAATGAAGTGAGTGAAGACAGCTTTTATCTGGGCGCAGTGAGTAAAAAAAATGAGTCAGAAGAAGCTAAATGAAGTGTGTTACTTAAGATAGGTGATACCCCAGTTAGTTTTAAGATCGATACGGGAGCGGATGTTACCGTAATGAACACTGTGACAAATGAAAAGCTTCAACCAAAGGCTCAGCTCCTTCGTTCGAACGTAGCACTAGACAGCCCAGGTGGATCACTGAATTGCATTGGACAGTTCACTGCATCAGTGGAGCATAAAGGTAGAAAATATGCCATAACCGTGTATGTGGTTGACGGAAGGACTGTCAGTAATCTTCTAAGCCGACAGACAGCAGCTGATATGGGGCTAGTCAAAAGAATAGAGCAGGTAACCACAGTTTTTGAAGGAAGTGGTATAATGAAAACTGAGCCGGTAAAAATACACCTGAAAGTAGGCGCAGAGCCATACGCAGTACATACTGCACGGAGAGTATTACCACTGCTTTCTAAAGTAACAGCAGAACTGCAGAGAATGGAGGAACAAGGTGTCGTGGAAAAAGTCACACAACCTACAGATTGGTGTGCACCCATGGTTCCGGTCATGAAGCCCAACGGAAGCGTGAGAATTTGTGTGGGGTTAAATAAACTAAACGACAACATTAAAAGAGAAAGATACATGCTTCCCACTACATACGAAATTCTAGCTAAGCT